CTGCGCGGTTATTTTCCCATCCCTACTTTCTCTCCTCTCTTTGGCGGTTCTGTTCTTCGCCCCTCGTCCCACCTCAGCTAGCCCAATCTCGCACTCTCGTTCGCATATTCGCGTGAATTGTCCAGCGAAAAAGATGCGGATACACCGAATTACCGAGTAATTGGGTCGCTATGTTGCTGGAATCGCACGAATGCACGACTATTTTGCCAAAATGTACAAACGCGAACAGGGCATTCTACAAGCTCGATCGAAGCGGAAAATGTCCGCGAACAAACTGCAATTCGTTTTAAGACTGCAAAGAAAATAGATAATATAATTATAATTGTTAGCAAAAGGAAAGAATAATGTAGGAAAAATAGTTTTAAAACCAAAATAATTCATTTTTTATTTAAATAAATCCTAAAATTTGGAATTTATTTTCTTCTATATTTTTCTTTGCAATATCGAGTGTTATTCGATTCGCACTCCAAAGCGTGAAAATAGGTCTCTGTGATAATTCAATTACCAATGTCAAATATTTTTATACTTAAATATATGATTTAAATTTTGATAAAGTAATTTAAATATAGAATGAGGTTTTATTAAATATTGTATGTTTGAACTTTTTTATAATCTTATTTGGAATTTTACTTTATAATGAAAAAGTAAAAAGCGAAATATAAAAATCTATTAACTTTATTTTAAAACGGGCACGCACTCAAATTATTTCGTTCATAAAAAGTCATTTTAGAACAAGTTTTTTTTTTAAATCTCGTGACGATTATTTTTCCTCTTTTTTTATATATCCACTCAACATTCCACAATCTGCTCGACATGACGATCGCGTCGCGTCGCGATCCGCAAAGCTCGTTTCGGTCTTTTCTTGTCGAGCCGCAGGCAGCAGCGATCGGCAATGTCCGCCGGCACAAACTTTCCTCGTTATACCCCGGTATTCGCGACAAGTACGAGTACTTGGGGCGGCGAGACGGTGGTGCCCGTCATCTGCGCAGTCTGATGAGAACCGCGGGGAGGCGAAAACTTGCCGCACTGAGAGAACAGCGCGCGGCACAGCTGAGACGCCGAAGAGGGTCTTCTCTTTTTATCCCGATACTGATCGACATCGATCGATCCCTTCGCCGCCAACTTCTTAGTCCCGTTTGCGCCTGCTTCAGCTTCTTACCGATACCGATGCATTGCCGAACCGCCGGACGTTTCTTATCGCGTACAATTCCGCCGCAGGAACTGAGCATTGCGATGAAAAATGCGAATGGTCAAGCTTAAAAGATGACACATTAAATTTTTAAACTAAAGTAACATGTATTTATTATTAACGATTTATATTGAGAAAAATTAAAATTAATTAATTTTTTATTGCAGTTCTGATTAGACTTCTGGATAACAATCTCAAGAGTTCTATGAAAAATCTTAATAATATTTTCAATTAATTTTAATGGTTAAGATGTTAATTTTGTAGTTACGTTTTGTGAAGTTGGCACCCTAAAGTTTCATAAACAGATTTTTTTACTTAATTCGCCAGAACTATTTTTTATTTTAATAGAGAATTCTAGAACTCTTCCGGATGCATTCAGAACTGCAATAAAAAATTAATTTTTTTTTTTAAGATAGAGTGCCACTTTTACAGAAGTGGAAAACTTCAGGAAAACTTGAAATTGAAAATTACAGGCAGGAAAAAATTGTAAATTACATTTACTTTGATTAAAAAATTTTTTAATTTATGACTATGAAATTGTGACATTTTATAATTGATACTCGAAACATTTTTGTATAAATCAGAGGTTATTTAAATATAATTTAAATTAACTCCCAGTTTTATTTATGTACATTATTCGGTAATAAATTTAACTGTATAAATGACCTCCCACATAAATTTATTTTTTGTACATTTTTTATGGGTTTAAGAGTGACGCATCGACGCTTTATTTATATACAGTTTTGATAAAGCTGTCTGACCGAAGATATCTAGCAGCTTCGCTGCATCCACATTTCTCACCGTAATCCTCGAAAGAGCCCCGCTTCTCGACGTGCGGCGGGATTATGCCATCTGCCTTTGACTTTTTGTTCGGAGAGATAGAGATACAAACCGGTGTGTTCTCGCGAACGCGGAGACGTACACGCGTCTATACGCGTCCGCCAGCTGCCGGCGAGAAATACGCGCGATCGGCACGTACGTCGTTATTTCTACACACGATGTGGATTATGGGTCGAGGTGTAACTGTCAGAGTGGATTATCTGGAGTTGCTGCGAATCGCTACGGGTGATCGTACTGACAGTTTCGTGTCTATTAAATAGAGCGCGCTCGAAACCTCCCTCGAGAGTTGGATTCCGAGTTTTCGTGGTCAAACAAACGCACGCGATAGCTCTGATCGTACTCAGAGGTAAGTTCAAAAGGACAGAAACGAATAAATAAAACTGCATTAATATGAATTCGTATAATCAGTTTTTAATAATCAACTGATTATTTATTCATGGATTTATTCACATTTTTGTTATTTCGAAAGCGTCGTTCTTTCACGCGTTCCTCTTAAAATCCGAAACATCGCGTTATTGACAAAGTTAAAATTACATTCCAAAATTACATTACAAAGTTTAATCGTTACAATGGATACCGTGGATGTTTAATCATTCATATTGATAAGCCGACATTTTTATTACAGGAGAAAGCAATTACAAATTGTTGAAAGATTGCAGATAAAATCTATTTAAATCAAGTTTAAGTGGGTTGCGTAAATAAAAACTGTTAGCTTACATTTGTTTACAGATTTATCGACACGTCTGATGAAAAACTTTCGCTTTTTCCGCGCAACTTTTTCCACGTTAACTTCGCATGTTATTGCCTCGAGTCCTTCAATTGTAAAAAAGGGAAAAAACCTGGCAAAAGTTAGCATCTACTATGACGCGATGCGCTTCGTCCCCGCGGGCGACTTTAGTTCGCGGCTTCGCTCTCCGGAGGATATGACGTCATCCCCTGCGCGCTGCTCGCCGGCGGCGATAAATGGAAAATAAAAGGAGAACCGCTCGTCGCGCCCTTGTCCGAGCGGCCAGCAGAACCGAGAATAAATCACATTCGAATTGTTCCCCGTGAGAGAGAGAGAGAGAGAGAGAGGAAGAGGGATCCCCGACCCTGAACGTCATGTAGGTCCCT